TTAGTTACGTATAATTAAATAAATAAATAAATTTAATATTAAAAATTACAAATAAATAAAAAAATTTATCATTTAAATAAAATATGAAATTATATAAAAAATAATAATAAATTATTACTATATCATTTTCCTATTTAATAATCCATGTGATTATTCGGTTATTAGACTCGTGAGGGACCATTTTTCCCGCTTAATATATCCCCACCAAACCAAAAGTCCCTTTCTCTATTAGCCGAGCCGCTTTTGAGCCGACTTTCTTAAACTTATTAATCTTAACCACCTTCCAAAATTCATCACCACTCGTAAATCACCATTTCAATGAATTAAAATGAAAATGATTTGTCAACCATATTTATTCACAAACAAACTTTTATAACGTGGCAAAGAATTTAGGAAAAGAAACAACTAAAATATTTGAAATTAGAAAAAAAAATATTTGGGTACATGAATTTAAAACTTATTAATTATACCTTTTCATTACTATATCAACAAAAATTTAACGAAATCAAAATTAAATTTTTTCTATGAAGATACTTGGCCTACAATCAAATCAAAGCTTCATATGTTAAGAATTAGGATTGAGAGAAAAAGGGTCATTAACAATTTTGTTTTGGGCCCTTTACTCAATTTATTTATATATTTACAACTCAAAATTATAATCTTTTATTTTAATTGGAGAAGAGATTAACAGTAGATGTTTAAGTTGTTGGCATGGATAATTAACATTTATGATATGTCTGATGAGTTGTAGTTTCCCTTGAAGAAGAATTTTGGGTAGTTGCACAAAAACAATGCACAAGCCTGAATTAATTAGGAAACTTTTTTTGGGCATGTAAATTTAAATGCAATATGATTATTATTATAAAAGCAAGTAATCAATTATGTTTATAACATCATTAATTAAAGAGAAAAAATAGGTACTTATATCTGCCTTTTTTTATGATCATTTATGTCATTTTCTTAAAAAAAGTCTATTTTTTTTAAATGACAATATAATTAATTATCTCCATTTTATAATCAATGGTAAAAAACATCTAATTTTCTATTATGTCAAGTTATTTTTTTTGACATTTTCAAATCCCTTCCTCGGAAAATATGTACCATACTAAACAGGGCCCTGCATCAATTTTTTTTTTCCTGAGACGATAAACCTGCTAAGCTTAAGCAGTGAAGCTGAGCTGCGCCCGCCACTCCTCGGTTTTCTGGAAATGGTCTTTTGCATGACCTTTCAGAGACAGAAAAACATTAATAAATTGAAATTCTCTCCATAGGCTTCCCTGGAGTGTCCAATATTCTTCTGCTTGTTCTTCTGCATTGAATATATAGGGTGGTGGTGGGGCTTTGGAAGAACCCACCTGAATTATTGTGCCAAAGGCAATTCACTCGCCTCACCTTTTCCACGGGCAAACTGTAGTTTAATCAGGAGTCATGGGGATTGTGAGGACGCTGGAGGAAGAGGAGGAGAGAATGGGGTTCGAGGAGTTCCGGCGCACGGTTCTACTTGCTAGTGCTGCCAGGAAAGACGATGAAGAACGCCGAGGATTGCGCATTTTATCTGGAGATTTCAAAGGGGACCCTGAAGAGAAGCTTGTTTGTGTCACCAGCGGCGTTTCTTTCCTGGGACTTGCCATCGTTAACCAACTCTTGCTTCGTGGGTACTCTGTTAGAATCATCGTTGACAATCAAGGTAATTTTGCTTATTGTATCTTATTTAGATTAATTCATTCAAAACAGGAAAACAATCGTGGGTGTGGTGTGGGGTTTGGAAATATTTCTTTGATTTTTAATGTTACTGTGTTTTAATTTGGGAAATGCAGAAGATGTAGAAAAACTGAGAGAGATGGAAACATCTGGGGAGATGATGAGGGCCGGAAACCGGAATATCTCTGTGGTTACGGCGAAGCTGACGGAAATTCACAGCGTGATGGAGGCAATTGACGGGTGCGTAGCGGTGTTTCACACCTCCACCTTCATTGATGCTGCTGGAGTCTCTGGATATTCGGTAAGTTCCAAATTTTTCCCTCCCCAAAAGCAATCTGTCTGGTAGTTTTTCAGGATAGATCGGTAGGTGTTTGAGGAAACGCATATGAGAGGTTAATTCAATAGAACTACCGACAGCGAAATCAAATTGTCAATGTAGTAAGTTAAACCCTCAACAATTTTTGGATTATGAGTGGAAAAACTGAACCCGCAATTAAGAACTCCACCCTGACCTTTTTTGGAAGCAAGTTAGATGTTCTTGATTTTTCCATCTCTTTTTTCTCATAAAAGTTTAGACCTTTTTCCTTGGTTCCATTCTCAGCAATGTGTTTAATTAGTTTATTCCAGTCTCCTAGAAGACTTTTGCCAGCTGTGGCTTTTTTTTTTTTTTTTTTTTTTTTTTTTGTTTATTCTAGAAGACTTCTTGTTAGTACCTTTATCATGAATATCGGCCGAGGTCCACCTCCATTGCAACCAACTAAGAATTTACCATTTTGATGATGAAAGAACAAGAAGAGCCATGGTCCACCATTAGGTTTTTAGTCGTTTTCACATTTTGATTCGTTAATGGCTGATTTGTTATGGAGTTTATGATTCTTGCTACCTTCGTTATGAAAGAGAAGACATGGTTGATGGTTCTCCATTTTGATATTATTAAGTTGCCCCTGGTTCTTGACTATATACTTTGATCATGCTAGTAGCTTTGTGCAACCAGGAATTGTTGGAGCAGATATAGGACGGTTGCAATTTATTTTGAGAATGAATCTAATATAATATGCATCGAAATCTACCAATTACTTAAGCGATTAGCACACTAATATAATTCTTCCTACATGTAATACAGAAATCCATGGCTGAAATAGAAGTGAAGGCCAGTGAGAATGTGATAAAGGCATGTGCAAGAACAACCTCTGTTAGGAACTGTGTGCTCACATCTTCTCTTTTGGCCTGCATATGGAGAGATGGCACCCAGCATGAACTCTCCCCTGTGGTTAACCACCATTCTTGGAGCGAAGAATCTCTCTGCACCAACAAAAGGGTATTCTGAAAGATTTCGCATTATTATCATTGGATAAATGCTAATTGGAAAGCACTTCATCCAATTTCACCAAATGCTTTGTGATTATGAATAACATTGTAATTTTAGAGGGGTGTTCCTAGTTTCTTACACTATATTCTCCTGAATTGTGGCAGCTCTGGTATGCCTTGGGCAAGGTGAGGGCAGAAAGAGCGGCATGGAGACTAGCTGAAGAGATGGGTTTGAAATTGACCACCATCTGTCCAGGTCTCATTACAGGTCCTGAGTTCTTCTGTAGAAACCCAACAGCGACAATAGCATATCTGAAAGGTATCATTCATTCAACAACCACTCTTATTTTTAATTACAAACCTATTTCATTCTTAAAAAATCAAGACAATTACCCAAAAAGTCGTTTAAGGTGGTCTATTTTCAACCTTTTTGGGTTGATTGATTTCTTTTTAAAGCCGACATTCGTTTCTTTATGACCAAGTTCAACAAGTTCAACTCCTAATCCCTGATTAATGTCAATCTTTGCATGGTTTCCTTTTGACCAAGTTCAATTCCTCCTAATCCCTAATTAATCTCTATCTCATCTCGGCATGGATATACCTTTAACGGGTGCAAAAAAACACCATTACAGATCCAATAACTGTCTTTTGTTTAAGTTCTTGTTCCACAAGAGCATAAAAGCAATGATTTTGTGAATTCAGGGGCACAGGAAATGTATGCAGATGGGCTGCTAGCTATTGTTGATGTGACCAGATTGGCAAAGGCGCATGTTTGTGTGCTTGAGGCAATGAACAAGACAGCATCAGGAAGGTACATTTGCTTTGATCATGTAATTGAGACAGAGGAGGAAACAGAGAATTTGGCTAGGGAAATGGGAATGCCAGCAGACAGGATATGTGGAAACCAATTCAACTTCATCCCCACCAGGTTTCAATTATCAAACAGGAAGCTTTCCAATCTAATGTCAAGAACATCTGGAAATTGCTATCATGAATCATGAATGTTGTTAAAACTTGGATTATCTTTCTCTATTTTCTTAGGCAAAGCTATATCTAAAGATCAGGATCTAAAGATCAGGCACCTGATTCAGGATGTTTTCTTCACCATCTTTTAGAGATATATCATCTGTATTTTTTTTTACATCTAATTATAAACTATACAAGGGGGATAGTCCTCCCTTGTTCCCAAATCCCCCAATTCGACTTAAAACTCAAACTTAAGATCTTTAACTCATCATGGTCTATTATTTGTATTCGGTGATGAAGAAATGAAACAATAACCCAAATACAAAAATAAAATCAGTAACAGCACAAGAAAGGAAAATTTGAAACATAAGGGCTCAGAGAGTTGCCATCTCTGCTCAAAGAAAAGCTTAAAAACTTTTCTCATACAAGAGGTGTCAGAATTTACATAGCATTATTCATCCTTGCCCTAAGAATTCATATTTTCTCAGGAAAAATAAATGAAAAAAAGGGAATAAACTCCAAAATTGGGATTAACCCAAATTATCTTAAAGAGAGAAACAAGAACAGAGATTAAAATTATTAAAAAAAAAAAAAAAAAAAAGGGAAAACACAGGAAAACACAAAAGGAATTGCTTTGGAGCCGCCACGGTGATGGCTGGACTACAATTAGGGTTTAGGGTTTGGAGAGAAACTC